AGGAGGGGCAGAGAGGCTGCTTTTGGCTGTTCAGCAGCCTGTTGCTGGCAGGGGGGTGGGGGGGGCAGCGGGAGTGGGGAGGCACTTTTCCTCTGCCCAGCAGCTCTGCGGGACCCCAGTCGGAGCCGGCCCGAGGAGGAGAAGGATCCTAGGACCCAGGTGAGCGAGCCCCGGGAATGCTGCTGCGCATGTGCGGGAGTTGCCTCACCCCGTTCGTATCTAGGGATCCGACGTAAGTCGGATCCACGTAAGTCGGGGACTGCCTGTATATGAAAAGGAGAGAAAAGGACAGCAGTGTCTTTTTGCTGAATGTTCACTATTCTGCCATTGCAAAAATCATTTTAACAACTACAGTTCACAAATAGACATTGGAGAAACTTTCTGACACAGGATTTTAAGGCCTGGGCAGGGTTGTTTCTATATTGTTTCAATGGCTTACTTTAAAAGGTAAATTAGTGCTGGAGAGTGTTCTTAATAAGCTGAGTGCTTGGGTGGTCACCTAAGAGAAATTCAAATGCTGCCCAACTGATGAGCAGTGAGCCCATGGAGCCCAGAATCTGCAGCATGTGTTTCTTTGGTGGTGCATATTCACACATGCCTTGGTGCACATAACAAAATGTATTTTGCACATGGATGAAAAAAATAGAAAACTGGTTCTGAATTAGACCCGGCTGGATTTCAGTAAGTTTGAGCATAGTGTAAGTCAATGCAGAATTTGGTTCCTAAGTATTTTTCCCTAAATTTGGGATACAGATTTTGGGAAGCAAGAGATTCAGAAGCTGAGAAGCAACTTTAAGAAACATACAGGTTGGGAGCATCCTTCCTAAGGAAGCAGATGTTTTATGTACTACTGAAAACCCACATATTGGGAGGAGATTCTCTGGCTAGTGTGGGTCTGGAGTAACAGTTCTTTGCTGGCCCTCTCCTACATTTTTATTATTGCAGAAGCTCTTAGAAGCCCCACAACCCCCTTGAGATAGGCACTGTGCAAACAATGTAAGATACATGCCTGGAATGCGCTGCATTCCTACTATTCTTTGCCAGTTACATGGCCCACAAAGGGTCAGTACAAGCCAGTCTATTTTAGAGCAATCGTAATGGCATTAGAAGGACAGGGACCAAATCAGGGCAGTGTAAAGATAATTTATGGCTGTGCCTGGAAAAGGGGGAATGAAGAATCCAGCCTATTCTGTCTTATTTTGGATTTCCTCTAACATACCGCTGGTTCAGCACAAGATAGGAAGTGCCCAGCAGAGGCACCATTTCAGATTTTGGTAGGGAGGAGCCAACTTGTGCATGCTGTGCAAGGGAGGCAGACTGAGGATAATGGTTTCAGCAGTGTTACTGAGCATGCTTCGTACAAACCAAGCACCAAACGGGAAGAGGGAAACCACCCTATCTGCCCTCCTCCCACACACATCATCCATAACCACGGGCTACTAAAGCACTGGAAAACTGCTTTTTTTTTTGCAGGCAACTTAGCATTTAGCTGACAGGAGCACTGTATCTAAGTCCAATATAAAAGAAAGAAAATTAAAAAAGTACAGGAAACCCCTAACTT